GAGAGAGAGAGAGAGAGACTGAGAAGGCACATGGGCATTTCTTTAATTATTGTCAGCTGAAGCCAGTGATGTTGGCAAAGCCACATCCTGGCAAAGCCACTTTGCCAAAAAGCAGGAGTGTTGTCAGCTTGACCTTCAGCCCAGGCGCCAGGGGGTGGGTTTAGTTATTTAAATCCAGCCAAGCACCAGGAATGAATAGGACTCGGGCCCACCCAAGAATGCACATAATCTCTTGTCTTGTAGTAAAACTTCCTGGTTTTTGCTGTATAAAATAAACATGCTGTATGGCTCTGGGTCCCTGTCTCTCCATCAGATATCAGTGGTCCCATCCAGACCCAGCTTTTTTCTTCCACCTCTGTGTCTGTCTCTTTCTTCCATTTTCTCAATCCCCAGCCGCCCCTACTCAGGGACCAGACTGCTCCCTAGCCGCACTGGACACGGAGAAAAGAGAGAAATATTTACATATATATATGTTTATGAACATTCCTTGGGCACTGGAAAACTGCTTTTAGACACACATATATATATATTTATAATCAATTATATCTCATTAATTATAGCATTAACATCTCCCATATATTTCTCTTGTCCATTTGAGCTGTCATGGGTTGGAAAGCATGGATCAGCCTCCTTATACTAATGCATTTCTTATTAATGTAATTTCTGAAGTTTTTCTTAATGAACTTGAATACTATGCTATCAGATGCATAGAGATAGTCACAACTGTCAGATCTTGACTAAGGATTGCTTTCTTGAACATTACAACATGCCCTTCTTCCCCATTTGTAATGTGTTGAATCTTTTCCAATGCGAACACTGTGATTTGTCTTCTTTTTCTTTTGTTAGTTCAATATGCTTTTCTGTATTCTTTTATTTTCAACATTGCTGAGTAACTTTATTTTAAAACAGCACATGTTTAGGCTTTGGGTATTTAAAATCCAATTTCAGTGATTTTAGAACATTTGTACTTGCTGATAGGAGAGATTTGGCCTTGTGCAGTTTTTGTGTTTTATGTTAGCACTAGAGGCCCGATGCACGAAATTCGTGCAAAGGGCTGGGCCTTCACAGCCCCAGCTGCCTTGGCCCATCGCAGCCCCAGCTACCTCATGGCCCCACTCACTGGTCGTTCTGGAAGTTCGTTCCACCATCTGGTCTAATTAACATATTAGCTCTTTATGATTGATTGTATTGCTTTTAAAAATGATTCACTAAATGATCTGTGATGTCCATATTTTATCTGATGAGTATTCACTCTGGTAATTTAGAAAGTCTGTATTTTAAAAATCTCACCTAGTGGATTCCTCAAAAAGCAGAGCCTTAAACAAAGCATATTATTGTTCGTTTGTTTTTTCAGTCAGGCTATGTCAAAAACGAAGAATGAGAAACAAGGGAAATGAGGCAAATGGAAGGAATGTCAGTACAAGACTAGTACCAAGTTAGCTGCTTGGTTTCAAACCAATTGATTGCTCAATCCTAAAGGTCAAACGGGAAAACATTCCCATTTTACAAATGAGGACACTGAGACACACAAAGGTTGAAGAAGTTGCCCAAAGTCACATGACTAACAAATGGCAGTGCTGAGATTTAAGCCTACTCTCTCAACTAACACTATTATCTTTTCATTCTGTCACGAGTTCCTTTCTTAACCTTTCCTAAGTGCCTCCTCTCTGTGCCTGACAGGGTGCTAGGAAAACAAATAATCATCTCTATGCTAAGTGAGATCAGTTGAATGAGCACTATAGGCCATTGCTGTCATTAATGCTAATCCCTGCCATTCTTTTTTCCTTTTTACAACTGCTGTCTGTACATGTTCTCAGTGCTCTATGGACAACTCTTGCCTTTTACCTGTATCTCCTCAGTGCCCTTTCCATATATAAAGTGAAATGACATATCACTTTACTTGGTAATTATCAGTAATTTGTGTGTTTCATAATTGTTCCTTGAGCTCCCAAAAGATATTCCTTCAGAATTGCTTCCTATTTTCCTTTTTCAGTTTCCAGTATTTTTCAAATGCTTCAAAGTGGCAATGCAGTGATCTCTGGGGAATCAGTGAAAAGCAGCAATTTTCAACCAGCATGCCACAATTTTTTTTTTTAAATCTACAATACCTATTAGGAACCCTGACCTCTTTTCCTTTAGATTGTAAAAAACAAAAACAAACAAACAAACAAAAAAGACAACTGCAAACATAATCGCTGCCCAGTGTGAATGAATAAATATAGCTATTTTTTTGTCACTTTGGCAATATGTATATTTTTTGGTGTGCCACAGAATTTTAGTAATTAGTTTGTGTGCCAGGAGATGAAAAAGGTTGAAAATCGTTGGTCTAAAGCAGTGGTTCTCAACCTGTGGGTCGTGACACCTTTGGGGGTCGAACAACCCTTTCACAGGGGTCGCCTAAGACCATCAGAAAACACATATATAATTACATATTGTTCTTGTGATTAATCACTATGCTTTAATTATGTTCAATTTGTAACAAAATTGGGGGCCACCACAACATGAGGAACTGTATCATCACTTATTACTATTACTTCAAAAACAAAATTTTAAATACCTCAGAAATTATTTCTAATTGTAATCTTCATCTTCTTGTCATCAGCAGCCTAAATAAGATATGGACTTGTAGTAGATAGAAATGTGTCCACCTGAAAGATGTGTTCAAATCATACTATCTAGTACTTGTGGATGCAACCTTAGGGGCTTTGTAGATGTAATCAAGTTAAGATGAGGTCATACTGAATTAGGGTGAAATCGAATCCAATGATAGGTATAAGAGGAAGGACACAGACACAGGCACAGGACAGGAGACAGAGGGTGAAAGGTCATGTGATGACAAAGCAGAAACTGCAGTGACGCAGCTGCAAGCCAAGAACACCAGAGATTGCTGACAACCACCACAAGCTAAGGACCAGAAATAATTCTTCACTATAGCTTTTGGAAGGAACAAGATAGTACCGACACCTTGATTTTGGACTGTTAGCCTCTACTGTAAGATAATAAATTTCTGTTATTTTAAGCCATCCAACTTGTGTTAATTTGTTATGGTAGTCCTAGGAAATATAGAGCTTTTAGAGTTAGGGAAAATTAAGCTATGTACATAGTGCCGGTAATGATTTTCAGCACCTTTCAAAATTAAACTGTGCCTATTTCTTATGGAACAATTTAAGTAAAAGGTATAGTATTTCATGCTACTTAACCCTGTTTACTCAGAAAAACCTGAACCTTTGAAAAATACAACTTAAGACATAAGCTTTGTTCTTCTAGAATGGTAGGAACTTGGTATTTATGTACCTTGCTCACAGACCTTAGTTTAAAGGGGTAACTATAATAG